CTCCTTAAGTAGTGCCAGGTGGTTCTTCTTAATGGGAGCCAGGTGTGCTGGGAGGTGTCAGGTGAGACCGGGGATGTGCAGCTGGCCGCGTCTAGTGGCGGAATGGTGAGTGGAACGTGCAATACGGAACAGTGAACCCCGGACTATGACACCTCCATCAGTGCAAGACAAAAAGCCGCAATAGAACTGCATGGCCTACTCCTCCCTTCTGGCACGTTGTCTTTTAAATTGAAAAAATGACAGCCCCCCTTCATATGGAAAATGGATATGTGATGTTATGTTTTTCTTAAAAATTGAAAAAATTAGATACACACTGAATGGATCAGTGACTGAGTTTGACATCACTTGGCATCTATTTATTTCCCATGTAAAACAATTATCTCTGCATTTCAACCGTGAAAAAGATTTTTTGAATGTCGATCTGACAACCGATGTAGACTTTTTGGTTTTGATTCTTTTTTTTTATTTTATTTTTGTGTGTGTGAATACAGGTATGTTTTTGCCCCACCACCCCGATAATGTTTTTATTTGAATTATTTTTTTCTTGTATTTAGGCTTGGCTGTCTTGTTTATGTGTAGAAATTTTTAAAAAGCTCAATATAGATACTTTGACAAAAACAAACACTCTTTTGGAGGAAACGTAATCAAGACAAGATTGTGAAACACGGCAAAGACTTGAGGGGTATCTCACAAAACTACAAAAAAATATTCAGGAAAATTGAGCAAGCGCGGCTAGACTTAGCCTTCACTTAGCTTAACTGGTTGCACGTTTACAGAGCCCGGATGGTAAAATGGGCTATATTATGTTTTATAATCCAGTCTCTATCATCCAGGGACTACAGAAATGCCATCAGTCCTTCAAGATCTTCTGGTAAGGTCAAGGTGCGGGGGAAGGCTGCTTGTCGAGCCCTGTTGGTGGCATGAGGAAAATCGTTGCAGCTTTTTGGTTTAATTGGTTTGAGTGGAAAAAGAGCCCTGCTTATGTCCCCATCATTAAATTAGGCACCACTGACATGCTGCTGTATCCTCCCACTGTGGTTGGTACTTTGACTGAGTTCCATGTTGTAAGCTTGCCTCTGGGTGTTACAGACGTTCCTCTTGGCATAGCCACAGTAGCATCTCAGTCTGTTTCTCAGTCTGTCCAGCAGCAGATTGATTCGCTGGACCTTTCCCCCTGGTCAGCTGAGGACCAAGCTAAGGTGAGGGCACTGACAGAGGCTTATACTGTACAAACCTGATAGCATTTGAAATTCCCCTTTTGGATGATGTACTTGCCCATCTGTTTTACAGGTGCATCCCTTCATATGAATATGAGGTTGTTAGAAAGC